ATGAATGACTCAATGACTCGCTCCTGAACGAATCAGCCGTTTGAACGAATCGTTTGAGTGAATGACTCAGTGACTCGCTCATTACCGCCCACTACTGGCGGTTTAGCTTCAAAGTCTCATTCGTTACAACATTTCTTATTTGTATATTCAAAAAATATTTAAAACAATCTCGTAACATTATTTAATGCAGTTGTAATTTTTCAGAGTAAATTATTTATTTTAATTCGTAACAGCGCTATAGTGTCTTATTATTCTAATTACATTTATTGATCAAATTTAAGAATTTAAAATGAAAGATGAAGCATATTTGGGGGGAAATGCCCTTTATAAAGGGTTAATATGTCATAAATATGTGGATTTAAATATGTCACAGCTGACTGAACACTGAGGAGAATATTGCTGCAGAATAAATTGTATTAAAAATCTTTTTTTTTTCTGCACAAGCTCATTTTTTACTCTGAGAAATGAATGAGTGATTTACTTGTGCGAAGGACGAGCGCATGAAAAGGCTTAATGTCGAGCCCTGCTTAACATCATCAAACCACTGATGTGAGCATATTAACACACACACACACACACACACTGTGCAGATCACATTCAACACAGGAGATGTTCTGGCATCCCAGTGACAGGCCTCATTCATTACCAGCGCAAATCCTGCAGAGAAATATTTAGCTAAAAGCTATTGTTACCAAATATAGCGAGTTATTTTAGCTCTCGAGTTTAACCTGGCGAACAGAGGAGTGTTATTCTGCTCTGAACCTGAACGTCACCGTGAGACACACACACACACACACACACACAAGATCAACACGGGGATCCAGGGGTCCGTCTGCATATCAGGGCTGTTTCTCTCCGCTAATCTAATCTAACGCAGCGACACACACTGATCCTGCGCTCGTCTCGCTATCGGGCGATCAGCTCTGCTTCTCCTCAGTGTGTGTGACGAGTGTGTGAGACGAGTGTGTGAGACGAGTGTGTGTGACCAGTGTGTGTCACGAGTGTGAGATACTGTGGAGAGTGATGGAGACTCCTCCGCCTTTACACACGTTGTGTTTACTTAAAGAGCCGCCGACCAGGAGCCCTGCACACACTCACTGTCACACACACACACACACACATCACAGCATCAATCACTCAAACACACACTCCTCACTCAGCGACTCACACCGGCGCTGGAATCGTGTGCTCACGCGGAAATAAAGCGCTGGTCAAGATGACACGGAAAAGTGCAATTTTACCATGAAGTCACCATATGGCTTTCAGCACTGTGTAAAACTAAGAAAACACACCAGGAGTGTGTGTGTGTGTGTGTGTGTGTGTGTGTGTGTGTGTGTGTGTGTGTGTGTGTGTGTGTGTGTGTGTGTGTGTGTGAGAGGAAGCAGGATCGTAAACAGAAGCATGTGCCACACTGACAGATCAGAGATCTTCATTAGCGGATCAGTTAAACGCTTCAGCTCTCTTCCATTAGCAGGACAGCGGGCGAGCGAGAGGTCAAAGGTCAACGCTCGCTCGCTAAGTGGAGTAAACACAGGAGCGTCGGTTCACGTCAACACACACGCAGATCCACACAAACACATTACAGTCACTGCACACAATCATGATGAACACACTCTCCTCTGAGTGTATTTATGATGGGAATGTGTGTGTGTGTGTGTGTGTGTGTGCGTCATACAGTTTTATGGGTCCTCAGGCGTGTTGAAAGCCAACAAAAGCTCCAGTGCTGAAGAGGCCACACAAGACGCTCTCACACACACACACACTATCAGACACACACTTTCCTTCTGTACTGGTAAAGACACATGTACCTGACACACACACACACACACGCATGTGTGAAGCGTAATGGCCCGTGATGTACCACACAGGTTGGTCTCAGCAACACCATGTGCACCAATATTTACCCAGCGATTCAAGCGGCACATGGAGAACTTTCCACACACATGCCCCTGAAAGAGATCACATGACCCCGATCCTGAGCTCTGATTGGTGCTCGGACTCCACGTCCAGGTGTGACTCGGGTCATCTGCCTGCTGAATACGACAAACATCGGCGCGCGCGCACACACACACACACACACACACACACACACACACACACACACACACACACACACACACACACACTCAAAACTGTGCAGCTCATATTTCACCCCAAAATCAATATTTTGCATAAAGAACATGAAGCCTATTTTAGAACCATTCTAACATTATTTTGACAAATTGCACACATTTTCTACCTGATTTTTGTCTGTCAAAAGAAGCATTTAATTTAAATATAATTTTTATTAATTTTTCCCCCAAAATTTTCATTTTGATTATGAGGAAATCAATTTTGTGTATGAACAAATAATACTTAATCATTTTATATAATTTTCCTTTAAATGGAAAGATGAGTTTTATTAGCTGGCTTCAAAGCTAATCTAAAGATGGACTGCCAAAGAATTAAGCATGTGAACTGCAAACACTAAATGTTTTGTAATTCATTTTACATTCATTTACAAATAAATACATCATAACTAGTTTTGTAGAGAAGATTATTTTCATAAAATTAACTTTCTTTAAAGATGGGCTTAAATGGTACAGTGCCACAAAACGCATGCAAACTATAGCCAATACAAGCTAATCTTGAATGAAAAAAACTTAACATTTCTCAATGTGGGCACAATAAAAAGTACTATGATAATAAGTCCACAATATATTTAAGCTCCATGCATGTATTTGTAAACATATCTTACATTTTTAAAGGAAAACATTGTCTTTTTTTCACCATTACTCACTGTGGACCCATTTAAGCCCACATGTGTTTCAATGAGGAATCCCTCTAATTGCAAACTTTGATACATTTTCTGAAAGTGTTTAATGATAACATTTTTTTGTGTGCTTTTACCTTACTAACCTTTTAACCTTACCTTACTTACTACCTACAACTATATTTAGATAGGCCTACAAATTACACACATTCATTCAAA